CTTCATATACTAGTAACAGGTTCAAGATATTTTAACTTTTTATGAGAAACTCCATTACCATCATTTTCAACTTAATTTTGCCTAAAATTGACATCATTGTAAACTATCGCCTTGATTTCAATCGATAACCTTCTGTTGCTGGTTAGTGCGATAAAAAAACAAACATTAAAAAGAAAAATGTTGGGCATACACCCAATGAGCTTACTGGAAGAGATTCTGTAAATCTTTTTGCTTACATGTTTGCTGTGGGAGCTGCTCTATTCTTCTTCCGCTGAATGTTGAGTAATATTTGGCAGTATTCTCAGACCCGTGGATAATCTATCACGGCTGTGTCTAACCCTAGCGGAACCCTCGTTCTACCAGGACGGGCATTTTTTTATCACCAAACATTCTTTCTTCTGTTTTTTTTTGCGCTTAGTGGAGCATTCGCTCCATCAGCAGTTACAATGAGTGCAATGCTTTTGATAAATAATGAGATGAAGAATTCATATAGCATTAACTGGAAATTATTTGACTGCGGATAAAGCCCTTCATATTTACAGGTGCGTTTGTTTAAAACCACGTTCATACCTTGCGGAACTGGAGAATCGGCGAATGACGTAATTGGGGGATTCGGAGAAACCGCGACAAGCAGCGCATTCGTATCGAACTGGAGAATCGGCGATCCTCCGGCCCTGCGTTTCTTCAGATAGCATGGCATAAACGCGGCCTGAGACCCCATCGGAGGGGGCTCTCTTTTTTTTAGTTTTTTAAAGAGCCAATCACTGCTATATGATACTTTAGTTTTTTAGAGAGCCAATCACTGCTATATGATACTTGTGGCACATGAAGGCTCATTTATGATACCGCAGTTGCTTGATGCATAAGGCTGCGTTCATACTTGTGTCCGCGTTCTGAGCGTTTCGAGCGACGAGGAAAGTGTAGGATATTGATCTAACGTAGGCCAGCCTACAGCAGCTTTCTGAGCGATTGGCAAAGTATGGATATTGATCTAGCGTTCTGAGCGCCTGCCCGCCAAAACCTCAAAACTACCTGCGAAACGCTCGAGACGCTGGCGTGCGCTAGATCGATACCTCTACTTTCCTAGTTGCTTGAAGTGCTCAAAACACTGGTGTAAGCCCGAAACGCTCAAAGGCTGTTATGCGCTCAGAACGCTGACGCAAAGTATGAACGCAGCCTAAAGTTGGGAATTTGAGTAAGGCCAAGTTTGGTACGGTGATCAACTCCTGCTGTACAAGAGGTGTTCCCCCAGGGGGTGTAAGGGCAGTGAATGAACTCATAGGTATTCAAACAAACGTCTAACCATGGACAGTATTAGCGCTGGTGTTGTGAAAAATACGGAACCAAGTCTGTGTAAAGCTTTGCTTTTATGGTAATGTTCTTGAAAAGTTAGAGGTATCTTCAGCTCGTTTAGTGCCACGAGGGAGTAATTGTGATTCTGTTTCTACGAAATGCTTTGCTCGCATTAGTGCATTCGTTTTGCGACATCGAATTGATTCTGTAGGTGTGCTTTTTTCAGGTGCCGGCTGTCGCCGTGTGTGTTTATGGCTGGAACCATCGAGCTGTATGAGCAAACAGATAGTAACGGGTCAGGCCGTCGATTGATCCACAATGACAGGATGCAGAAAGAAATAGCTTTGGACAAGATCACACGGATGAATAAGCTTTATACTGATCGATCTGTCTACATTTGAGAATTCGCTTTATACTTATGGAGTGTGGAGTGTATCTACTGAATGTCCTTCGAAGCGATCACATTATTGTGGTGTGGTTCACTAACGAACCTCTAGTCGTTAGGTGACTCTGCAAGGCAGGAAAAAGGAAGAAAAGTCGTGTAGAACACCCTCACTAAGGTCCCTTCGTAGCAATCCTGTACGAGTCCACCGGACCTGCTCGTTTTTTTTTTTGGGGGGGGGAGCCTTCATTACTTTACTGTGAGGCCAAGCCAGTTCGTCAGCGCGTGACCGATACTGCTTGAACGTAAAAAGAGATCTAATGGATGTCGTTGAGCGCGAGACTCTTTAGCGCGTTATGATCCTGCATAAATTTAAAGTTCGTTAAAGAATCGGTTTTTCTTCGAAAGCTGTTAGAATATTCCACAGTATGTTCGCATGATGCAGTTCCTCACACAGTGATTCATATACGTCCTGATCGGGAAGTTCGCCCCATCATATGATCGAGCGAACGTTGAGTCACTGGTAAGTTCGTCAGAGAGCGGCCCACTCAACTGTATTCAACACTCAATATCTTATCATTGTATCAATGGACAGTTTCGTGGGCATCGTCTGAGCATAAAATTTCTTCTATTGACAATCTTCCTTAGCTTTCCATTTCAAGAATTCTACTACCTACTTCTACCCTGTTTAAAACTGGATCTAGGTACTATTCTATTTACTATTCGGTGCAGTGGAGGAACTGGGGGGGGGCACTCTTTTGACTCTTTTCCTCGACCTGTCGAGCCAGGAGACCTGTGAAACTTTGTGAGGCCATGAAATGATACCGATTAGTTTGTAGAGACCACCTGCAACTCTTGTAAATCAGTGAAATACCACACAAATACCTCGGCAAGCTTGCTCCAGCTTACCAAGTCTCACTTTCACCAGATTGAGACTTGTCAATCGGAACTAGTGAAGCACTGAAGGTGCAAAATGCCCCTCCCACCTCCCGTCACCCAACTGCTCCAGCTATTTTTTAAGGTAAATCGAGTGCCATATCGAGGAGCTTATCACAATCGTAGCTTTATTGCGGGTTTCAAAAAGGTTCTTTGTTGAAAGATTTTCGACTTCGAAATCATCATTTGCTTTTTAACATATTTATGTGAGGTGTCCCTATTGCTTTCTAACTTAACAATACCTCACCGATAGTCTAAAAAATGATGATAGCAGTCGATCTGTCTTAACATTGGTTCAAAGAGATTTTGCGCACACAGTCACTAGAACACGACGATTTTGTATTATTTGTTTTGAGGCTTTCCTTTGCGCGCGTGCTCCGTCTTATAAAAGTTGGGAAAGAATTCCAGCAGGACGTTTCGTATGGAGAAGAATAGTCTCTCAGTTTGAAATTTAGAAGTTATTTTTTCTACTTCTTCTGTTCGAAACGGTCAGGTTACCTGGATATTGGATCTTTTCTTGATTCTCTCATTTTCTCGAATTCTCGTTGTTGGAAATATTTCTTGGATGAGTCTGCTATTATTTGGGGTCCCCTCGAAAAAGCACCAGCGGTCAGAATAACTGCCTTAGTACCACGTTATTACAGATTTATATTAAAATAATTTTAGCTGCGAGTCACAGTTCTGCGAAGAATGAGCCTCTATTAATACCGGAATTGGCAGTATCTCTCACTATCTTTAGGAAAACTTTTTGAACTAGTTCCTATCCAGTTGGTCAGCGTTTTGGGGTTTTCTTACGAAGGAGTAGTTTACTCGATTCGTCATCACTGTTATTGCTCTTCGATGTGCTAGTTTTAAGCGTTTTTATATTTTCTTTGAATATTTCCTCCTTTCTTCCCCTTTAGTCCTAAATAGAATGTCTTCCTTGAGAATACCCCTATATGTTTCTTATCAGCTGGTTGCATGACTTCACCATCCTTTCAGAAGTAGGCAATTCAAATGGTATGCAAATGTTTTTTCCCTTTCATTTTCTCTTCGCTGTTTCCGATCATTTCTCAAGTGAAATCGAATTCTGTTAAAGGCTGAAGCGCGAATGCGAGTGAAACGAGAAACGCGCGAACAAGCAAGGCAACACCGTTATACCCTTCTCGAGAAACGTGTCGAAGTAAGATATTTTTCAACTATTATCCCTTATAAAAGGCTTCATTTCATTTCTCATGGCTTGTATTTTAAGGAAGAAGCTGAGGCATATCGGCAAGATGCTGCGGTAAGTCGGTTTATCTCAATTTCAGTACTCTCAGTACTCACTCATATAGTTTGCCGTGGTCGTTTCCAGTGAGATTTCTGGGTGCTTGTGATCTAATCTGCTCGTTGTGCGGTTCAGTTTATGAAAACTAAACTCGTCATTCGGTTCCAACGGACCTTTACAGTGACCACTGCAGATCCTTGACATATCTTTGCGCCCTGGAATAGAATGCGTGCCTCGTTTATCATTATTTTCTGTTATCAAGTAGTTGTATACTTTTCAACACCCTATTTCACACTAGCCCTCATTATTACCACAATGTGACCTTAAAGGCAGCGCCCGCGTTCATTTGTTGTTCCCACGCCCTCTTTGGATATCGTAGCTCACCCTATGAGGATGGTGGACGTACTAGTTTCGCAACTCAAAAATGCGAGAGAATAGCGGCGCCCGCTCGTGAAGAGTCGGCCACCCCGCCCACCTGGCGACCACTACGCCCAACTTCATTTCTAATGGTTGCCTGATGGTGCGGTTGTTCCGCTGCTGCTTCTCTCCACTTCGAATGGTGAGAGTGAGGTGATAAGGGAAAACAGCTGATACCAACAAGTGAGAACTCGTGCGGCCGCGCCTTCTCTTCGCCTTAAGCACGTACAACCTCAGCTCGGCGTGGGGTCCTATATAGGGCATATCCGATGATTTTTTTTGCATTTTTCTCCACTGTTGAACTTGCTACCTTGTTGTGAGCCCCATAATTCATCAAAGTGAACGCGGGCGCTGCCGTTAATTCGTACCCGCCCCTTTTTGAATTGACCCTGCGGGGCGGCTGATTGGAACACCTGTGAACCGAGTGTGGCCGTGGATACGAAGAGATCAATGCACGATTCTAACATGAAGTGATACTAACAAATGTTTTTGATTTCCAGTCAACATCGAATGGCCTGCAGGGTTGCAACGAGGGCAGTACAGTATTGCAGGTGTGTGCATGCAGATTTGAACTGTTTTTAACTGTTTAATTCAAATTAGCTTGAACTGATTCGGCTAAGTTCTTTCATGTGATCCGTCGCTGAAAGTGGCTATAAGCTGGTCACAGTTAGTGGCGTTATCCTATTGAGAGTCATTTTATAACCATCTAACTCATTTATGTTCCAAAACGATTTGACAACAAGGGCTCCCATCAAACAAGGCGCGTCAGTATAATACAGCTCCTTTTAATAAGTGCAAGTTCTTATGAAATGAAATGGTTGAAGTCAGTGGAGTTAATGTGGTGGTAGTTGGAAAAGGAGAAGATTAGGGGCAAGAGGGATTTGCGGGTGAGACTGCGGAATGTTTAGACAGCAAATGGTGGGCGATTGAAAACTGGAACGATTGCGCGGTTTAAGAAGAAACAGAAAATAGGAGCGGTAGAGGCTATTGTGGAGAACGTGTCAGTTTACTGTGTCCTTTTTTATGGATTTTGAAATTGAATTCTGAACATTATGTTCTATTACATAATGAAATATTAGGTCATCCCATTCAAAAGTGCCGTCGGTTTTTTTTCGAATAAAACAAAGAGGAGAATAGATAAAAAAGTAATATTTTGGCTTCAAGTTAAGTAAATCCCTCCTTCACCAATGACCCGCTCCCAGTGCCCCGAAAGCCTTTGGACCTCTGGTACCTTCGATTTTTCAACAAGTGCGAGTAAATTGCTGTTGATGCCAATTTCGGCGAATGACAAAACATTGTAGCGCCGTCGGAGAGTACTCTCGACTGACGAGAACAC